CTTAGTGAGTGAAAGGGCCCAACCGAGTTTAAACTAGTGACCTCTTGATCCGTAGTCAAATGCTCTACTACGTAGTTATGGACCCATTTTGAGTAATCTCAAACTTAGTGAGCCCTCGAAAATGACCAAAATAAACTGTTCTCAAACTTAGTGAGGTCCGTAAGAGACCAAAATAAACTGTGACCCTATCTTCTATCTTTTTTCGAAGTCCAAAAGCCTCCTTGAGGCCCTACATGAATTTATGAAACATTGATGATGAATATATGATCTTATGTCCTTCCATTCAAACGATATAAAGAAACAAATGTTCACGGTAGAAATGAAAGGAAAAAAAATATAATGAAAGAGCGAGTTCAAACGGGTAAACTCTTGATCAGCAATCAAATGCTTAAACTCTTGAACGGACAAAAATGAAAGGAAAAGAAATATAATGAAAGAGCCCAATCGAGTTCAAACGGGTGAACTCTTGATCTGCAATCAAATGCTTAAAGTATTGCGACCCAATCTTTTAAAGGAGTCCAAAACGATATGTGATCACATTTCATGCAAACGAAATAGAATAGTGTTCATGACAAAAATTAAATAAAATAGAAATGAGTGAAAGGGCCCAACCGGGTTCGAACCGGTGACCTCTTGATCTGCAGTCAAATGCTCTACCACTGAGCTATGGACCCATTTTAGGTGATAAACCGGTGACCTCTTGATCTGCAGTCAAATGCTCTACCACTGAGCTATGGACCCATTTTAGGTGATAATAAACTTAGTGAGCACTCGGAAATTGATCACATTTCATTCCACGCAAACGAAATAAAGAATAGCGTTCATGACAAAAATTAAATAAAATAGAAATGGTGAAAGGGCCCAACCGGGTTCGAACCGGTGACCTCTTGATCTGCAGTCAAATGCTCTACCACTGAGCTATGGACCCATTTTGGGTGATAACAAACTTAGTGAGCACTCGGAAATTGATCACATTTCATTCCACGCAAACGAAATAAAGAATAGCGTTCATGACAAAAATTAAAGAAAATAGAAATGAGTGAAAGGGCCCAACCGGGTTCGAACCGGTGACCTCTTGATCTGCAGTCAAATGCTCTACCACTGAGCTATAGACCCATTTTGGATGATAACAAACTTAGTGAGCACTCGGAAATTGATCACATTTCATTCCACGCAAACGAAATAAAGAATAGCGTTCATGACAAAAATTAAGGAAAATAGAAATGAGTGAAAGGGCCCAACCGAGTTCGAACCGGTGACCTCTTGATCTACAGTCAAATGCTCTACCACTGAGCTATGGACCCATTTTGGGTGATAACAAACTTAGTGAGCACTCGGAAATTGATCACATTTCATTCCACGCAAACGAAATAAAGAATAGCGTTCATGACAAAAATTAAAGAAAATAGAAATGAGTGAAAGGGCCCAACCGGGTTCGAACCGGTGACCTCTTGATCTGCAGTCAAATGCTCTACCACTGAGCTATGGACCCATTTTGGGTGATAACAAACTTAGTGAGCACTCGGAAATTGATCACATTTCATTCCACGCAAACGAAATAAAGAATAGCGTTCATGACAAAAATTAAAGAAAATAGAAATGAGTGAAAGGGCCCAACCGGGTTCGAACCGGTGACCTCTTGATCTGCAGTCAAATGCCCTACCACTGAGCTATGGACCCATTTTGGGTGATAACAAACTTAGTGAGCACTCGGAAATTGATCACATTTCATTCCACGCAAACGAAATAAAGAATAGCGTTCATGACAAAAATTAAAGAAAATAGAAATGAGTGAAAGGGCCCAACCGGGTTCGAACCGGTGACCTCTTGATCTGCAGTCAAATGCTCTACCACTGAGCTATGGACCCATTTTGGGTGATAACAAACTTAGTGAGCACTCGGAAATTGATCACATTTCATTCCACGCAAACGAAATAAAGAATAGCGTTCATGACAAAAATTAAATAAAATAGAAATGAGTGAAAGGGCCCAACCGGGTTTGAACCGGTGACCTCTTGATCTGCAGTCAAATGCTCTACCACTGAGCTATGGACCCATTTTAGGTGATCTCAAACTTAGTGAACACTCGGAAAGTGACCGAAACAAAGTGATCACATATCATTCCATGCAAACGAAATAAAGAATAGTGTTCCTGACAAAAATTAAAGGAAGTAAAATTGAGGGCCCAACTAGTGACCTCAAATGCTGAGCTATGAACCCATTTTTAATAATCCCAAACTTAGTAAGCCCTCGGATCACATTTCATTCCATGCAAACGAAATAAAGAATAGTGTTCCTGACAAAAATTAAAGGAAGTAAAATTGAGGGCCCAACTAGTGACCTCAAATGCTGAGCTATGAACCCATTTTTAATAATCCCAAACTTAGTAAGCCCTCGGATCACATTTCATTCCACGCAAACGAAATAAAGAATAGCGTTCATGACAAAAATTAAAGAAAATAGAAATGAGTGAAAGGGCCCAACCGGGTTCGAACCGGTGACCTCTTGATCTGCAGTCAAATGCTCTACCACTGAGCTATGGACCCATTTTGTGTGATCTCAAACTTAGTGAGCCCTCGAAGAGTGAATGAAATAAACTGCGACTCAATCTTTTAAACGAGTCCAAAAGCAGTCATGAGACCTTAATGGATTTCGAAAACATTGATGAAGAATATGTGATCACATTACCTTTCATGCAAACGATATAAAGAAAAGTGTTCGTGAAAAAAAAAATGAAAGGTAAATAATGAAAGGGCCCAACCTGGTATAAATCGGTGACCTATTGATCTGCGGTCCAATGTTCTACAACTAAGCTATGGACTAATTTTGTTTGATCTCAAACTTAGTGGGCACTCGGTAAGTGACCAAAATAAACTACGACCCTATCGTTTTCAGGAGTCCAAAAGCCGTCATGAGGCCCTACATAGATTTCTGAAACATTGATGAAGAAAGTAGATATACACGACAAAAATGAAAGGAGAAGAAATGAATGAAAGAGTCCAACTGGGTTCAAACCGGTCCCCTCTTGATGAACCCGTTTTATGTGATCTTAAACTTAGCGAGCCTCTATTGAAGAAATTAGTGTCCTAAGTTTTCTAATCTTCAAACTTAAGGTGAAAAGAAATAATTTGTCAAAAGGAAAAGGATGAACATCGGGTTTCTAACTCTTAATTTTTCTATAGTCAAGAAGAGAGATAGGAATTGTCTGTAGCTCAAGCGCGATCCCGAAGTTGACTTCTCTAATTAGAGGCAATCTCGGTAGCTCCTTTGAAAACACATCATTGAACTCTCTGACCACTAGTATTGAGGATGCACTAACACAACTAGGTTCTATGGTCGGTGAAGAATGTTAGGAATCATGACTCTCCACAATGGTATGATATTGTCCACTTTGAGCACGAGCTCTCATGGCTTTGCTTTAGATTTTCACAAAAGGCCTCGTACCAATGGAGATGTATTCCTTATTTATAAACCCATGATTATTTCGGACTCTCTCCCAACAATGCTCAACAAAGAACTAAACGTGTTCTATGTCCAAGGTTTCATGTGTGCTTTGCAATATAGCCTATGTCTAGAGTTTTAATGCACCATTCGTGATAGTCTGAGTTCTAATACCCGAGTCCATGCATGCATCTCCTGCTATCCCATAAGGATACCTATGCTCAAGGTTTCATGCATCCTTTGTGACATAGTCTAGTCCATGACATCCTACAAAGTAAGGTATAAGAAACATGGACAACACACCCCACCTTGGTGAGTGACAAAAACACGTGATCTATTAGGAGATCTTAAATGTAACGACCCCGATAGGCAGATATTGTCCTTTTTGGGCTTCCTCTCAAGGCTTTAAAATGCGTCTGCTAGGGGAAGGTTTCCACACCCTTATAAATGGTGGTTTGTTCTCCTCCCCAACCAATGTGGGACATCGCAATCCACCCCCCTTTGGGCCCAGCGTCCTCGCTGACACTCTTTCCTTCCTCCAATCGATGTGGGACCGCCAATGTGGGACATCGCAATCCACCCCCTTTGGGCCTTTGGGCCCAGCGTCCTCACTGACACTCTTTCCTTCCTCCAATCGATGTGGGACCGCCAATGTGGGACATCGCAATCCACCCCCTTTGGGCCCAGTGTCCTGACAGTCTTTCCTTCCTCCAATCGATGTGGGACCGCCCCCAAATCCACCCCCTTTGGGGCCAGCGTCTTATAAATGGTGGTTTGTTCTTCTCCCCAACCAATGTGGAACATCACAATCCACCCACTTTGGGCCCAGCATCCTCGCTAACACTCTTTCCTTCCTCCAATCGATGTGGGACTGCCCCCAAATCCACCCCCATTGGGGCCCAGTGTCCTTGACACATCGCCTCGTGTCTACCCCTTTCAGGGAATAGCCCTTTCAGGGAGCGAGAAGGCTGGCACATCGTCCGATATCTGACTCTGATACCATTTGTAACGACCCAGATCCATCGCTAGCAGATATTGTCCTCTTTGGGCTTTCCCTTTCGGGTTTTTCCTCAAGGCTTAAAACGCGTTTGCTAAGGGAAGGTTTCCACACCCTTATAAATAGTGGTTTGTTCTCCTCCCCAACCGATGTGGGACATCACAATCCACCCCTTAGGGCCCAGCGTCCTCGTTGACACTCTTTCCTTCCTCCAATCGATGTGGGACTGCCCCCAAATCCACCCCCTTTGGGGCCCAGTGTCCTTGACACATCGCCTCATGTCTACCCCTTTCAGAGAACAGCGAGAAAGCTGGCACATCGTCCGATATCTGGCTCTGATACCATTTGTAACAATCCAAATTCACCGCTAGCAAATATTGTCCTCTTTGGGCTTTCCCTTTCGAACTTTCCCTCAAGGCTTTAAAACGCATCGGCTAGGAGCAGGTTTCCACACCCTTATAAAGGGTGGTTTGTTCTCCTCCCTAACCAACGTGGGACATCTATGAAGCAAGTTTGAATACAGTGCTACCCAACTGTCTGAATGTCATGGCAGGCACCCACAATATAGCAAAATTAATGTTTTTTCTACTATTCATTTCATTGGATCATCACAATACAAAACATTGGTAAAAGGGAGACATACAAAGTTATTCAATATTTTTCTTTGTATAACCAAAAAAGAAAGTTCAATCCAGTAATGCCTAAAACAATGCATATTTACATGCCCTGAGAGCTGCTGCTCAACACATCTCTTGCGCTTCCGTCTGCTTTCATTCACATATGGTATGGACGCCTCATACACTAAAGGCTGATTGTAATGTAGAAGAGAACTGAGAAGCAATGGTCTGCGTGGCAAATTGCTGAAACTGTTTCTTCGCATCTGAAAGTTATTAGCAACACCATCAGCCCAAATGCCAATAATTTCATCAATGCCTAAATCAGTCTTAGGAGAAGAGTGTAAAGAAGAAAAAAGAGGGCCGGGTAAGAATTACAAAAATTTGAGTCAACCCACGACTGAGTGGCAATATCTAACTGTAACGACCCTAGGTTGCTACTAACCTAAAGTCGTTACCATCATTATAACCTATGCTCTTATGCAGAATTAAACATTTGAAACTTCATCCTAAAACATTGTCATGGACTTACGTATTTGAAAACATTTTTAAAACAACATAACGAAATACTAAATGAAACAAACGAACAATAAAAGTAAAAACATCCTAACCTAATGTCTAGGAAATAAAATACCACTATCTTAAGATGGTTTTAATGATAGGTCCCTAACTCATGAGTAGCATGTGTTTGCACGGGCGGATTGTGAAATCTTACATCGGTTGGGGAGGAGAATGAAGCATTTTTTATAAGGGTGTGGAAACCGCTCCCTAGCAGACGCGTTTTAAAAACCTTGAGGGAAAGCCCGGAAAGAAAAGTCCAAAGAGGATAATATCTGCTAGCGGTGGACTTGGGCCATTACAAGCTTGATGAGTCTTAGAAGAAAGGTGGGTGCAATTTCCCCGGCAGTTATGAACTATCAGTTTGAGTGCCTAACTAGTTGGCAAATACATCAACATGTGCAGCAGTAGTACTAAAATGGCTGTAATTGGTAAGGGAAAAGTTGTTTGTTCGGATAACTTTGAGAACATGGTTCAAAATCATGGTGATGACCTATCTAAGAAGGTATCCTACGAACTTCCCAATGCCAAATATAGTCCTATTTGAAAGCTGTTTCATGTCAATGCAGAGGCACATTATTTACCAAAAGAATACATACATACGTGTGTGCACGTGTGTGCGCATGTGTGCGCGTGTGTGAATATATGTATATAATGCACGACAAGACAGGTATTTGATTTTTATATCTAAACCCCCTCCACCTATTTTAGTAGTAGGAGACTGCGGGATGCTGGACTAAAGAACGGCCCTATAATGGATGTCCTGAAAATGTTAGGTTCTAAAGAACGGCCCTATAATGGGTGTCCTGAAAATGTTAGGTTCTAAAGAATGGCCCTATAATGGATGTCCTGAAAATGTTAGGAAAAGGGTAACGACAACTGAAAAAAATTTGACTTTCATTATGCACACAAACATCAATTTCATTCGTTGCCCCAGTATAATATGTGAAAAAGGTATGAAGAAAGAGATGATCCTGAGTGGAGGTCGTTTGATATTTTTTAACTTGAAGCCGCCCTGCGAGAAGCGTTAAGATTATAAGTTACAATTAGCTAGTGACCATTATGGTATTGATGATCATGAAAGTTACAATCTTTCAATTAGGTTACCATAAGGTTTATTTCCAAAACTATAAATAGTCATTCATGTTGTTGCTTTAGTACGAAGATTTAGGATATAATGAAAGTTGCATATTATGCTTTTCTTAAGTTATGAGCTTGTTACGTTGCATTTCTTGTGTTTAAATTTGCATGTTAGAGTCATTCAAGTAGTTTTGATCAAACTATCTTGTGGAGTGATTCAAATCACGAGTTTACAAACGAGTTTTCTTTACTTATGATCTTGATCATCAAAGTAATCTGTTCCAAAACTTTCCCTTGGGTTGATTCCATATCATGTTAAGGAGTTGTTGTTCATCTTTTGGTTGGTCTTTCACTTATGTTCAAGGATGAACAATTTCTATGGCTTTTTGGGATCTAAACTATTCTAGGGGAAGTGTCTGAATTTGGAGATCTCTTGGGAAACTAATAGGATTTTACTATTTTCGTGGCTTCCTCATCAAGTTCCTTGTCTAAATTTCTTTATAATCATCCGATTTCTTGTCTTTTGATCACATACTTTTAATTCAATGAGATTTTGCCTCATGTTAAATATTTCGTTCCGTCCATGCAACTTGGTTTCTTGTAGAAAAAAATAATGGTTAAGGGGTTCATTGAAGAAGTTGATGCATTGGATACTTTAGGAATTAACCATATATATATGAGCCATTTGTATCACTATGCATGTCTATGTGTCTAAGAACTACATTACAAGTTACTAAGGTCCACAACAAGCATAAAGGTCACAAACAAAATAGAGATATCTATCTTCTCATATCCTCACATGCTCCTCGTTCCCTTTCGTGTGAATTCCACACTGGCAAATTCTCAATTTGTGGGGTCCTATCTAATTCCATTTCTCAAGCCCAGAACAAAAACCCCACCGACTCCATATCTCCTTTGAAGCAACTATCACTTGCTCCTGAACCTTCACCCACCGTTACGACATTCCTTTCTATTGCGCCTAAGATCTATATTTTTGCTAATATTTTACATCTTTCTATTTATGGTTCCTATGGATCTACATTGCAACAAATCTTCTTTTTTCTACAGTATCCTTTCCAGGGCAAAGATTTAAGCATCAAGTCCCTACTGAACTCAATATCTTCTAACAATGACTGAAATATAAAGCCAGCTAACAAAAATAACAAACAGCAGGCTGGGTTTCACAATGATATATCCCTTGAAGTTTAGAAACAATTTTCTAAAAGCTTCAAAAAAAATTCAGAAGCTTTTCGTGGAATCAGAAGCTATTACCAACAGAGAGATTACTATAATAAATCAGGCTTTGTCGTGCTTGTACGAACACTATAGGAGTTTTGTAGTTCATGGAACGCATTACTTACCTTTACGGCATTTTGTAAAGCCGATAATGTTTGCAATGCTCAAAGTCAAACAAACTCCTACGACGAGGAGATAATCAGCTTGAAACTTTATCAACGAGAATATGCCCAGCACAGTCCATGCAACTGCCTGTTACTCATAGGTTCAGAAGCATAAGCATACATGAATATTGAAGATCATTGTTTTTTATACAAGAAACAGAAAATTTCATTGATTAAATCAAATTACAAAATGAAGAAAATCCATTCTTTAGAGAAAACTATTAAGAGTATGTTACAAAACACTTTTCAGTTCTAAGGTAAGTGACTAATTTTTTTAGTTCAAGAACATTAATTACCATTTATAATTTAACCACTATATTTGCATCTTTGAATAAATGTAAATTTTAAGATCAGCTGAACCAGAAAATCAATCAATAGTAATGTAAGTTTGTATGTCTTATGTGTACTTAGTTCAACTAGTTTGGGAATCAATTTTCCAAAACACAAAATGATTTTCTAATTAACAAAATTCTTTTACAAGTTATTATCAAGAAGGAAACAGCTCAAAATATTAAATCTTTTGTATCCAACTATTTTCATCTTCTTTTTTTTCAGTGCATAATAACTAAATTCCACAGCATACTTTGAGGGAAAACAAAATTTAAAGCATAACATAAAATTGGTTTTTTCTTGAATACGTAATTTCTTTAATTTCCCCCACCCCGCCATCAACAAAAGAAAACATAAAATCAAAAGTGACTGGCCTGTCTCCAGATTTACTAAGCTTTAGACATGTACGTTAACTGCAACGAATAAATCACTATTCTCTTTCAGGTATCATACCTTCTGACATTCACTCGTATCGGTATGATAAAATTTATTTCTCGAAATCACCAACCTTGTTAGATAAAATATTGCAGACATATAATCAAATATCACAATATTTGGGATCATTATAATTTCTTACCGTGAGGTACAAGGTCCACCAGAACAGCCAGGAATCTTTTTTGTTCATCCGAGCCAATGACTAAAGAATAACCAAGGATCCATGAGCATTAGAAGTGAGAAACAGGCATTTAAAATTTTGTCCTGGTAACACAAATGAGAAGCAAATTCTGAAAATGTAAGAACTAGAACACTCACCTCTTGATCAAGGCTTTCAAATTTCCACACACTCTCACCCATATCATCTATTTCATTCCACCACCTTAAACCGACCAATATACGTCCACTCAAATTCTTCACAACCCAAAAGTCGAGAGCAGCGAGAAAAACAGTCACCACAAAAATGATAACAAAACTGCTGAAAAATAGAGAGGAAAGAATGTAAAAAGCCAATGCTCCAGCCTGAAAAAGAAGAACCACGATCACATAAATCCCAGAAAGCCCAGAGATCATTCAAGAATGAAATCCATTGACATCATAGTAACATAGCCTTACCTTAAAAAAGACATGAAAGAAACAAGTCTTCGGGTTAGCATAATTTTCTACGGGTGGCTGCAAAAGAGGCATCGTATGAGTCATACAATAGCAATTACACTGTAAAAACCTTCCAACTCAAGAGGCACAATGTAACCCCAATTTCACAAACTGATACCCAATAACGCGCTCAATCCTATGATTCAAGAACTGGAAGCATTCTAAATGCTAAACAAGTTGAAATTCAACCATTGCTAATTTGAAATTCCATCATAATCTGCCCGTCGTCAGCTCAGATCTTACATTTAATCGCGGATTTTGTTCGTTCAACAGATGTTCTGCCGTTGATCCTCCCAATCAACCGACAAAAAAAAAAAAAAAAAAAAACAACCACCATTGTAGCTCCAGACGGAAATTTTCGATTAGATCTAGCATTCAACAAGGGCAAGGAGGCGGAAATGCCTTAACCAGAAGATTAACAACATTTATAAGCATGTAAAGATGATAATTAAAGAAATTAAAGATGAGGAAGATCTAAAAAAGTTGAAACTAGCGAATTTTACCTGGTTCGGATCCATGATCGGGAAACTGGGAGATTTTGCACAATTTTTTCTTGCTGGTATGGGTTGAATTTGCGTTTGGGGATGCAGAAATGAGGAGTAAACGCCGCTCCCTCCGTCGCTACGCGCTCGCCGAGGAAAATTGAAGCAGCACGGAAACGAAGAAAAAAACTCACGTCTTCATTTAATTTAAGTTTTTTTACTTTTTTTAAATTTCTTAATCAATTTAAAATTAATTCGAACAATATTTCCTTGAAATTATTGTGCCTAAAATTATTATTATTATTATTAAAATATCAATAATAATAATAATAATAATATTTATTTTATTTTATTTTATTGATTTTTAATTTTTTCAAATTTATCGTTGAGGATTTAAATAAGTATGGTCATTTTTATTTTCTATTTTAATATTTTTAAACTTAAAATTTAAAATAAAAAATAGAAAATAAAAATTACCCTACTTAATTTAAATCTGAACTATAGATGAGAGGATTGGTTCACCAAACTCCGACCCAACGTCGATCAGGAGCAAAAGTGGAGTCTTGGTTAGAGCAGCTGTCCTGTTCTATTATCATACATAATTGGGAGAAGCTCGGCCCCTTATTTAGGGCTAACGCGCCAATTATCTATTATTTAGTGAAGCAAGCAACCTTTCGCTCGTGACACTCACTTTTTTTGTTTGGGTGGAGGCGAGCAGAATCAAATTCAATCAAAGAGCTACTACATAAACGTATTTACCTCGTGTTTGAAGGTGAAGGAAAGAACAAATTCGAGACCGGGACTTGTTCTCTCGTGGGTCTCTTACAAGATCAATTCAGATTGGCTCTAGTTCGTTTAGAAAATTTTATTCCCGAAAAAGGCTTGGATCCCCTATTTCTTTTTCTGGAGTGCCCCATGGTTCATCGAGTGCCATCCGTGAAGAGAAATGTCATCAACTAGGGCGCTATTGGCCATTAACCACTCGTTTGTCAGCCACTCGGGCTCTACGTTTCAAGTTCGTTATCCTACACCAAAAATCACAATTCACGAGGAAGTGAAAATCCCTTTAGGATCTACTCCAGCATTTAGAAATTGGTTAATCGGTAAAGATACGTGTACTTGGTGTCCTGTCTAAGGTACCCTGAGCTAACAAGACTTCGAATGGTCTCGAAAAGTCTCATATCTCAAATTTATAAATCATTGGCAGATATTGTCGTCTTTGAGTTTTCTCTTGAGGGGACTCAAGGCTTTAAAACACGTCTACTATAGAAAGGTTTCCACACCCTTTATATAAAGAGTGTTTTGTTCTCCTCTCCAACCAATGTGAGACTCTCACAATCCACCTCCCTTCGAGGCCAGCGTCCTTACTCGGTTTCCATACCCTTTATATGAAGGGTGTTTTGTTATCCTCCCTAACCAATGTGGGACTCTCACAATCCACCCCCTTTGGGACCCAGCGTCTTTAGTGGTTTTCCACACACCCTTTATATGAAGGGTGTTTTGTTCTCCTCCCCCACCAATGTGGGACTCTCACAATCCACCCCTTTCGGGCCCAACGTCCTTACTAGCACACCGCCTCGTGTCTACTCCTTTGGGGAACAACCTTCTCGTTGGCACATAATCCTGTGTCTGGCTCTGATACCATTTGTAACAAATCAAGCCCACCGCTAGCAAATATTGTCCTCTTTGGGTTTTCCCTTTCGGGTTTCCCCTCAAGGCTAGAAAGTTTTCCACAACTATACAAAGGGTGTTTTGTTCTCCTCCCCATCCAATGTGGGACTCTCACAATCCACCCCCTTCGGGGCCAGCGTCCTTACTGGGTTTCCACACCCTTTTATATGAAGGGTGTTTTGTTATCCTCCCCACCAATGTGGAACTCTCACAATCCACCCCTTCAGCCCAGCATCCTTACTGCTTCCACAACCTTTATATAAATGATGTTCTGTTCTCCTCCCCAACCAATGTGGGACTCTCACAATCCACCTCCTTCAGGGCCCAACGTCCTTACTGGGTTTCCACGACCTTTATATAAAGAGTGTTCTGTTCTCCTCCCCCACCAAAGTGGGACTCTCACAATCCACCCCTTCGGGCCCAGCGTCTTACTGGCACACCGCCTCGTGTCTACCCCTTTAAGGAACTGCCTCCTCACTGGCACATAGTCTGGCTCTGATACTTTTTGTAACAACTCAAACCCATCACTGGCAGATATTGTCCTCTTTGGACTTTCTCTTCTGAGATTCCCCTCAACCTTCTAAAACGCTTCTGATAGGGAAAGATTTTCGCACCCTTATAAACCGTGTTTCGTTCTCCTCCCCAGTGCTCAACGTATACCTAATATTAGAAAGAAAGGGAGTCATGGGCTCATAGCTCGGTGGGTAAGGGTAACCAAGCTTGGTCTCTATGTGGTGCTGATGACTTGATGAGTGGTACCGGGCAGGGCAATGGGTTGAAGTTGAATGAGAGGTGGAGGCAAATCATAGTCTTATCCTCAAAACATCGGAACGAAATTCAGCCAGAGAAACAGAAGCCATGCCTTCACAAGAACATCCCTTCAAATCCATTACCCTTTTAATCCCACCACCAAACAGCAAGAACACAGGGTTTCCAAATGGGTATCATGGCAAACCCAATGGCTGCTCACCACCAAAAATCGCCTTCATTCTCTGTTCTTCCTTCTTCACTTTCCGACTTCCATGGCGCCAGACTCCACGCCCAAGTTCAGGTCCCTTTCTCCTACTCTTTCCTTGTTCATTTTTCTAATCTGGGTATCATGTTTTACTGTTGAATTTTGATTCAAACTGGAAATCCTTGATGGGTTTTGTTGTTATGGCATCAAAATCACTGGATATTGATTTGGTTGTCCCTATAAATGGATATTGATTCGGATTTCGAAAGGAAAAGACTCGTTTCTCATTCGAGATAGGGGTAGGGGGAGTTATTGTGAAGCCGTCAAAGGCAGGCAAATAGCTTCTACCGAGTTCCCCAGCCCTTAGATTAGTAGCTCAACTCTTTCGATTGGCGTGATGCTGCTAGATGCTTCTGATCAATATCAGAGCCAGACACTAGGCGATGTACTAGTGAGGAGACGGTTCTCCGAATGGGGTAGCATGAGATAGTGTGCCAGGCCTGGAAGGGGGTGGATTTGGTGGGGGTCTCACATCGATTGGAGAAAGGAACGAGTGCCAGCGAGAACGCTGGGCCCTGAAGGAGGTGGATTGTAAGATCCCACATCGGTTGGGGAGGAAAACGAAACACACTTTGTAAGGGTGTGGAAACCTCTCCTTAGCAAACGCGTTTTAAAAACCTTGAGGGGAATCTTGAAAGGAAAAGCCCATAGAGGACAATATCTACTAGGCGAAAACAACCAATAGCTTCTACCGAGTTCCCCAAACCCTTAGATTAGTAGCTCAACTCTTTCGATTGGCGTGACACTACTAGATGCTTCTGATCAGTATCAGAGCCAGACACTGCGCGATGTGCCAGTGAGGAGACTGTTCTCCGAAGGGGGTTGCATGAGGTGGTGTGCCAGTAAGGACGCTGGCCCCAAAGGGGTGGATTTGGTGGGGGTCCCACATCGATTGGAGAAAGGAACGAGTGGGCCCTGAAGGAGGGTGGATTGTAAGATCCCACATCGGTTGGGGAGGAGAACAAAACACCCTTTATAAGGGTGTGGAAACCTCTCCCTAGCAGACGCGTTTTAAAACCCTTGAGGGGAAGCCCGAAAGGGAAAGCCCAGAGAGGACAATATCTACTAGTGGTGAGCTTGAACCGTTAGAGTCAGGAATAGGAGAATCGAATCTAGTTCGAGTTTTTTATTATGTACCTGTGTCTTTTGTTGGATATGAAGCCCGTAGTGAAAGACGGTAATTCGAGTGTGCATTGTTGTGCGATCTTAACATCTTTTTGCTCTGAAACCGAGTTAAACTAGCTTAAGTCGTTGATTTATATGTATTCTCAATTGGGTTTGGTCTGGATTGCAGTATAAGAGGAAGGTTATGCAGCCAAAAGGGGCATTACATGTTACAGCAAGCGCCAAGAAGAACATCCTTGTAATGGGTGGCACCAGATTCATTGGTATATTCTTGTCTAGACTTCTTGTCAAAGAGGGCCATCAGGTTAAGCCATTCTCCTTCTTCTTGCTTTGCTTGCTAGCTACAGATTCTCATTAGAAAGATTCATAGAGCTTGTTAATTATGGCAGGTGACTTTGTTTACAAGAGGAAAAGCGCCCGTTACGCAACAATTGCCCGGCGAGTCGGATGCAGATTATGCTGATTTTAAATCCAAGGTCTTTTAAGTTTTCATTTATGTGATATCCCACGTTGGTTGGGGAGGAGAACGAAACACCCTTTGTAAAGGTGTGGAAACCTCTCTCTAGCAGATGCGTTTTAAAAACCTTGAGGGGAGTAATGTGCTAGCGAGGAGGCTGTTCCCCGAAAGGGGGAGACACGAGGCGGGGTGCCAGTAAGGATGCTGGGCCTCGAAGGGGGGTGGATTTGGTGGGGGTCCCATATCGATTGAAAAAAGGAATGAGTGTCAACGAGGACGCTGGGCCCTGAAGGGGGGAGGGGGTGGATTGTGATATCCCATATTGGTTGGGGAGGAGAACGAAACACCCTTTATAAGGGTGTGGAAACCTCTCCCTAGCATATGCGTTTTAAAAACCTTGAGGGGAGTAATGTGCCAGTAAGGATGCTGGTCCCGAAGGGAGGTAGATTTGGTGGGGGTTCTACATCAATTGGAAAAAGGAATGAGTGTCAATGAGGACGCTGGGCCCTGAAAGAGGTGGATTGTGATATCCCACATTGGTTGGGGAGGAGAACGAAAGACCCTTTATAAGGGTGTGGAAACCTCTCCCTAGACGCGTTTTAAAAATCTTGAGGGGAAGCTCGAAAGGGAAAACTCAAAGAGGACAATATCTGCTAGGTGGGCCTGGGCCATTACAAATGGTATCAGAGCCAGAGCAATGTGTCAGCGAGGAGGCTGTTCTCTGAAGGAGGTAGACATGAGACGATGTGCCAGTAAGGACGTTGGCCCGGAAGGGAGGTGTATTTAGTGGGGTCCTACATCGATTGGAAAAAGGAACGAGTGTCAGTGAGGACGTTGGGCCCTGAAGAGGGGTGGATTGTGATATCCCATATTGATTGGGGAGGAGAACGAAACTCCCTTTATAAGGGTGTGGAAACCTCTCTCTAGACACATTTTAAAAATCTTGAGGGGAAACCCGAAAGAGGAAGCCCAAAGAGGACAATAAAAAATCTTGAGGGGAAACCCGAAAGAGGAAGCCCAAAGAGGACAATATCTGCTAGCGGTGGGCCTGAGCCGTTACAAATAGTATTAGAGCCAGACACTAGACAAAGTGCCAGTGAGGATGCTCTTCCTCGAAGGGGGTAGACACGAGGCGGTGTGCCAGTAACGACACTGGCCCCAAAGGGGGTGGGTTTGATGGGGGTCCCACATCGATTGGAAAAGGAACAAGTGCCAGCAAGGAGGAGAACGAAATACCCTTTGTAAGGGTGTGGAAACTTCTCCTTAGACGTGTTTTAAAAGCCTTGAGGGGAAGCCCGAAAGGGAAAGCCCAAAGAGGGGGTAGATTGTGATATCCCGCATTGGTTGGGGAGAAGAACGAAACACCCTTTATAAGGGTATGAAAACCTCTCCCTAGACGCGTTTTAAAAACCTTGAGGGGAAGCCCGAGAGGGAAAGTCCAAAGAGGACAATATCTGCTAGCAGTGGCCCTGAGTCGTTACAATTTAAGCCTTATAATTCGGTAGCTCAAGAAATGTGGCTTAACGATTTTATTTGATTCATATGTTCCAGGTTCTACATTTGAAGGGAGACAGAAAAGACTTTGATTTCGTGAAATCAAGCCTCTCGGCTGCAGGGTTCGATGTCGTTTACGACATAAATGGTGTGCATGATTTTGGATTGATCTCTTTTGGTTTGAAGTTCTTCACCCTGATACTCGCTGCTGCTTGATTTCAGGGCGAGAAGCAGTTGAAGTTGAACCAATTTTAGATGCATTGCCTAAGCTAGAGCAGTAAGATTCCCTAAATGATATCCACTTTCTTTTATATGTTAGTTGCTGATATTGTTACTTTTATATGCTTCGAGGTCGTATGTTCGAATCATGGTGATCGTCTGGTTGAAATATTAAATGTTCTTTTAAGTTTCCCGAACTCATTGTTATATTGTTCGGTAGCTGTCCCATGACATTAGTACAGTACATAAGTGTGAGGTCCCGTATCGGTTGGAGAGGAGAACGAAGCATTCCTTATAAGGGTGTGGAAATCTCTCCCTAGGAGATGTGTTTTAAAACCGTGAGGCTGACAGTGATACGTAACGGGCCGAAACGGACAATTACTGCTAGTTATGGGCTTAAGCTGTTACAAATGGTATCAGAACTAGACACTGGCAGTGTGCCAGCGAGGACGCTGGGCCCTCAAGGGGGGTGGATTGTGAGATCCCACATCGGTTGGAGAGGGGAACGATGCATTCCTTATAAGGGTGTGAAAACCTCTTCCAAGCAAATGTGTTTTTAAATTGTGAGGCTGACAACGATACGTAATGGGTCGAAGCGGACAATATCTACTCGTAGTGGGCTTGGGTTGTTACAAATGGTATTAGAACCATACACCGGGCAGTGTGCCAGCGAGGACGCTAGGCCCCCAAACAGGGTGGATTGTGAGATCCCACATTGGTTGGAGCGGGGAACGAAACATTCCTTATAAGAGTGTGGAAACCTCTATCTAGAAGACCCGTTTTAAAACCGTGAGGCTGACGGTGCTACATAACAGGTCGAAGCAGACAATATCTGCTAGCGGTGGGCTTTGAATGTTATAAATGGTATCAGAGCCAGACACTGGATAGTGTGCTAGCAAGGAAGCGGGTCCCCAAGGGGGGTGGATTGTGAGATCCCACCTCAGTTGGAGAGGGGAACGAAGCATTCCTTATAAGGGTGTGGAAATCTCTCCCTAGCAGACGCGTTTTAAAACTGTGTGACTGACAGTGATACATAACGGGCCAAAGGTGACAATATCTGCTAGCGGTGGCCTTGGGCTATTACAAATGATATCAGAGCAGACACCGAGCAGTGTGCCAGTGAGGACGTTGGGCCCTCAAAGTGGGTGAATTGTGAGATCCCACATCGGTTAGAGAGGGAAACAAAGCATTCCTTGTAAGGGTGTGGAAACCTCTCCCTAGCAGATGCATTTTAAAACCGTGAATCTGACGGTGATACGTAACGGTCAAAGCGGACAATATCTGCTAGTGGTAGGCTTGGGCTGTTACAATTGTATCAGAGCTAAACACCGGGCAGTGTGCCAACGAGGACGCTAACTCTTTAAGGGGTAGATTGTGAGATCTCACATCGATTGGAGAGTGGAACAAAACATTCCTTATAAGGGTGTGGAAACCTCTCCTTAGCAGACTCTTTTTAAAACCATGAGGCTAACGGTGATACGTAACAAGTTGAAGCGAACAATATCTGCTAGTGGTGGGCTTGGGCTATTACAAATAGTATTAGAGCCAGACACCGAGCAGTGTGCTAGCGAGGATGCTGAGCCCCCAAGTGAGATAGATTGTGAGATCCAACACGGTTGGAGAGGGGAACAAAGCATTCTTTGTAAGGGTGTGGAAACCTCTCCCTAGAAGACGTGTTTTAAAACCGTGAGGCTGACGGTGATACATAATGGGCCAAAGCGGACAATATCTGTTAGCGGTGAGCTTGAGTTATTACAAATGGTATCAGGGCCAAACACCGGGCAGTGTGCCAGCAAGGACGCTGGGCCTCCAAAGGAGGTGGATTGTGAGATCCCACATCGGTTAGAAAGGAGAACGAAGCATTCCTTATCAGGGTGTGAAAACCTCTCCCTAGCAAACGTGTTTTAAAACCGTGAGGCTGACGGTGATTCGTAACGGGCCGAAGTGGACGATATCTCGACTGTTATAATAAGCTAGTCCAAACATTAGGGTTCATAACAAAACATAGCATGGAATGTGATGTATCTAATTATTCTCAGGTTTATATACTGTTCTTCAGCTGGTGTTTACCTCAAATCTGATCTCCTACCTCACTTTGAGGTACCTTTCAGTTTACTTTCTTTGTCAAATACCAAATAAATGGTTCACTCAAAGCTTGACCTCGACTTTGCTTTCATATCATAGGTAGACGCAGTCGATCCAAAGAGTCGACACAAGGGAAAGCTCGAGACCGAGAGCTTACTGGCATCGAAGGACGTTAACTGGACATCTATAAGACCAGTCTACATCTATGGACCATTGAACTACAACCCTGTGGAGGAATGGTTCTTCCACCGGTTGAAAGCCGGTCGCCCCATTCCGATACCCAACTCGGGCATTCAAATTACCCAACTTGGTCACGTCAAGGTTTGTGCTACTATGTACTAGTTATGTAACATGAACAAATCGTTAAGTCTGTTGTAACTGTGAGATCCCACATCAGTGGGAGAGAGGAACGGAACATTCATTATTAGGGTGTGAAAACCTGTGGAGAACGAAACACCCTTTATAAGAGTGTGACAACCTTTCCCTAGAAGACGCGTTTTAAAGCCTTGAGGGGAAGCCCGTGAGGGAAAGCCCAAAGAGGACAATATATGCTAGCGGTGGGCTTGGGCTTGGGCTGTTACAGAACTTCTCCATAGTAGACACGTTGTAACGGCCCAGATCCACCGCTAGCAGATATTGTTCTTTTTGGGCTTTCCCTTTCGGGCTTCCCCTCAAGGCTTTAAAACCTAGCGGTGGGCTTAGGCTTGGGTTTGGGTTTGGGTTTGGGCTTGGGCTTGGGCTGTTACAAAACTTCTCCATAGTAGACACGTTGTAACGGCCCATATTCTTCTCTTTGGGCTTTCCCTTTCGGGCTTCCCCATAAGGCTTTAAAACCTAGCGGTGGGCTTGGGCTGTTACAAAACTTCTCTATAGTAGACACGTTGTAATGGCCCAGATTCACCATTAGCAGATATTGTTCTCTCTGAGTTTTCTCTCTCAGGCTTCCTCTCAAGGCTTTAAAACGCGTCTGCTAGGGGAAGGTTTCTACACCCTTACAAAGGGTGTTTCGTTCTCTTCCCCAACCAATATGGGACTCTCACAATCCACCCCACTTCGGGGACTAGCATCCTCGCTGACACTCTTTCCTTTCTCCAATCGATGTGGGACCCCGCCAAATCCACCCCCTTTGGGCCCAGCGTCCTTATTGGCACACTGTCTCGTGTCCACCCCCTTTGGGGAACAACCTCCTCACTGGCAGTCCGGTGTCTAGCTCTGATACCATTTGTAACAACCCAGATCCACCGCTAACAGATATTGCCCTCTTTGGGTTTTTCCTTTCGGGCTTCCCCTCAAGGCTTTAAAACGCGTTTGCTAGGAAAAGGTGTCCACACCCTTATAAATGGTGGTTTGTTCTCCTCCCCAACCAATGTGAGATATCACACGTTTTAAAAACCTTGCCCAAAGAGGACAATATCTGCTAATGGTAGACTTGGGCTGTTAAAATAACGGTCCTAGAAAGCATTCACGGCCATAGTGTGAATTGTTTAGGAATCGAAATCGAGTAAATGATTGAACGTTTTTTACGACCGCAGGATTTGGCAACAGCTTTTGTTCAAGTTCTTGGTAATGAAAAGGCAAGCCAGCAAGTATTCAATATCTCTGGTGAAAAATATGTGACATTTGATGGGTTAGCCAAAGCTTGTGCAAAGGTACTTTCTTGGAGACATAATCAGCACACCATGGTATTCATTGTAGAGCTAACATCTAAACTGGCTCACTTCGCAGGCTGGAGGCTTTCCCGAGCCCGAGATCGTCCACTATAACCCGAAGGAGTTCGACTTCGGAAAAAAGAAGCCATTCCCTTTCCGTGATCAGGTAATCTCGTCGATGTAATGATAAGTTCGATGATTCTGATGGCTCGAAATAGCACTGTTCGTATTGATATATAATGTAATGCAGCATTTCTTTGCGTCGGTTGAGAAAGCGAAGAGCGTGCTCGGGTGGAAGCCCGAGTTCGATTTGGTCGAAGGACTTACCGACTCCTACAACTTGGACTTTGGCCGAGGCACTTTCAGGAAAGAGGCTGATTTCTCAACGGATGACATAATCCTTGGCAAGAGCCTCGTTCTTCAAGCTTGAGGCGTCGTTCTCTTTTGTTTTTTACCCGATCTAAACGGGTTTATCGACAGATCTCGGGTCGAGATATCGATTTAAATTTGCATGTATGTAGAGATTTGTTTGAGTTTTTGCTCTAGTTTCATCAAGTGGCAAGCAATTTGTTCATATTTTTCTAGCTTTAGGGCATATCGAGCTCAATGTTGGATAATATTGTCGAGCACGCCGATGTCGTAAAATTTTTTAAAAGTGACAAACAAACCTTAAAAGTTGGTAAATTTTAAGTTTTTTAAAATTAAAATTATTATCAAACACGAGAAAAATACTCGTAAAGAAGAAATATTATGGTTGGTTGGTTTGCTTAAAATTTTATATTGAAATTAATGTATTGATTTCTTTTTAGATATTGACCTCAAACGAAATTTTGATAAGATGTGCATACGGTAGGGGGTGTACATTCAACCCGAACTAACCCAACCCGAACTATAAGGGTTGGGTTGGGTTGGATTAGTATTTCGGGTAGAGTTGAGTTCATTTTTCTGAACCCGAATTGAATCGGTTCGGTTTATTTTCATTATATTCAATTAAAATATTTTTATATATTTTTTATTTTTGTTAGATACAATACTTTTAAACTAATCATTTTTATTGTTATATTTTTGTTATGTTACCAATTCTCAAGAAATGTCGGTAGTTAGTTGTTTTTAGTTTTATGACAATGTTGAATTATATTTGTATGTTACAATTTTCGTTGTTTTTTATTGAATTTGTTTTTTTTTTTAATAATTATAGATTGATTTGTGTTTGTATGTGAACTTTTAATATATTTTATCTGAGATGGTATCCGAATAATTATAAATTGTGGATAAATAAAACAAAAAAAAATTGAGAACACAACCCGGACCCAACTCGAAAATAGAGGATTGGGTTGGGTTACCAATCCAACCAACCCAAATTTTTAGGTTGGATCAAAAAAATTCTTCAACCCAACCCAACCCGGACCATGTACACCCCTAGTATACGGGTTGGGTTGAGTTGGTTAGATGAAATCTTTTGGACTAATCCAAAACCTTGGGTTGGTCGAATTGGTAACTCGAACAACCCAAATAGAGTTTCATAGCCCACCCAAGCCAACCCAACCCTTCTATTCTTGAGTTGACTTAGGTTGGTTTGTCGGGATTTTTTTAATTATTTTTTTACCCTACATGTTTCATTAATAACTAAAATTTCATAAAATTCAAATATCGGACATTCACAAGTCACAACACATCGCTAATATTGATTGTAAAGTCAAATATCATTAATATTCATAATAATCTGAAAAGTAAGATAGATAATGTTGTAACTCTATTTCGAGTTAGTCGAGTTGACCAGACAAAAAAAAGTCAACTAGCAAACCAACCCGAACAAAAAAAAAATCTAACTCAATCCAACCTTTATGATTTGAGTTGGGTAATTCAGATTGGCTGAGTTTCGGGTCATATAAACACCTGATAATCACTACCGACTAGATAGACAAATTTTTTTTTAAAAAAAAAAAAATCATATTTTTAAAAAGAAGAAAAAGTGGAGTAATGGAGAGGAGACAAATGGCAAAATACAGTTGGGGGTTAGGTAAGTTAGGTACCTTCGAAGAAGTGGGAAGAAGGAAATTATTCTATTTTCCTCCGAAAAGAAAACATATTAAAATCCAACAACCTTATCCATAACGAAACTTTGGTCGGTTTGAATCCAAATTCCCAACCAAAAACGAATTTAAAATTTTGCTTTTTTAATGAAATAAAAAAAAGTTAAAGTATTTGGTTAATTTAATGCAAAATAATATAAATTCTTTTTTTTCTCACCGACATAATTATATTATTCAATCGCTAATTTAAAATCAATTTTTGTCGGGAAAAATAAAAAAATTTAAATAATGAATTAAAAATTCATTTCGACAAAACGTTCTAAGATGTTTCATACGTCATTTAATTAAAAATATTTTAAAATGTCGCATCATTATTTTTTTAATTCAATTTTAAATAAGAGATGGACACGTGACAGAGAAGATGGTTGGAGTTAGTAAAAGTCTATGATGTTTTGTTGTAGCAAATAGACAGTTCATGTCTCCACTGATCACGAGATAGATGGAGATTTCGGATGATCTGTAAATGATAATTTTTATCGTGTTTTCGTTGGTCTCTGATCTATACGTAATTGAAAATAAAATAAAAATTTTAAATATGGAAAATAATCAAATGATGACGTCATCATTTACCCCTATTTTAATCAAATGGGTTACTTTTAATAGGAATTTAACTCTTTATGGTAAGAATTAGAATCATATATTGTTCTTTTACTTTATTAAAATAAATAAATAAAGACATTATTCTATGTCACATCTCTTTTTCTTTTAAGGAAATTCCAAATAATAATAATAATAATAATCTTTATCTCGGGTCGAGTTAGGTTACAAATTTAATCTTTTTGGTTTGGAAAAAAACTCTAGTGGGTCTGGGCCGATGGGTTTAGAATGTTTATCAGTTTTCATATTTGATTGTCGGTTTTCAAGCCCTAGCTCTTTATTACTATCTAAATTGATTAAGTCGAGATCCGCTCGAATCCATTTGATATTAAACTCATTTTTTATCCCATTAACTAAATGCAAAGACCATCTTAATAACACGTACTGAATCTACCGGTGATTTTAGTGGTCGAGTGTAATGACTCAAGTTCACTGTTATGAGATATTATTCTCTTTGGATTTTCCCTTTCGCACTTCTCGATACCAGTTGTCACAATCGCACTCTTGATGACAACGGACTTGCGATTGTGCGGCACTCACTTTCCAACGACAAGTGAGCTAAGCCAATTCGTTCTTACGTTGCCTACGGCCAAGCAACGTATGCTCGAGCCTCTGACCTCGGTTTAAGAAGAAGGTTTTAAAAAACGAGGGCAGAGAGAGATTTTTGAATGAGACGTTATATAAGAAAGCAAGAGAGTAACAATAATAACTTACCGTATATAACCTTTGGTACGGAGAAGTTAACAATCTCTGCTGAAAAAAAATAATAATAATATATATATATATTTTTTTTTTTGAAGGACCACTTTTGTTGTCCTTAATTTGAGGCGGCAATTTTATTATTCTTGTTCCTAATTAAAGGGACATAAAATATTTGATTTTATTTTTTTAATATTTATTTATTTTTTAAAGAATTATTTTTTATTTCAGTTAAAAAAAAACCATAAAGATTTAATAATTATGTTTTTATTTTTTTTTCTTTTCAAAAAAAGATATAATTAGATAAAAATAAAATAAAATAAAATGATATTTTATTAATTAATATTTAATAAAAGATATTAATTAATAAACAAATATTTAATAATATTAGTCGTAAATGACATAATCGGATATGTTAAGGTCTAACGTTAAACTTCTCAATATGATATTAAAAAAAAAAACATTATTTTGGAGTATTTAATAAAAAAAAATAATTTGGAGTGATGTAGGTAAGTAAAGAGGTGTCTAGGGTTTTGGCACGTGGGAGATTTATAAATGGGTTAAATAGGAGTGTTCTTGAGAGGTGTCAACAAACGAACGAGATGAGGCGATATCGGATGCATTTGCCTTCCTTCTTATCCTCATCTTACTCTTACTACACGACAATTATTTCTCGTTCCGATATTCGACAATATCAGCACGATCGATCTATCAATTTTTTACAGTTGAATGTAAAAAAAAATTACTGAATGTTTGTTCAACCGTTGTTATCATCACGTATGAAATAAATAATATTTTAGTACTATTAGGTAAGAACTACGAAACTTTTATATTTGTGTCTATTTAGCTTTTATATTTGGGTTTACCATGTTTTTAAAAATTACGAAAATACCCTTATATGAGGTTTACCATGTTTTTTTAAAATTACGAAAATACCCTTATATGAGGTTTACCATGTCTCTAATGCATTATTTCTTCCTTCTCATCCTCATCTTTAACTCTTACTACACGACAATTATTTCTCGTCCCGATATTTGACGACATTGACATGATCGACTACCAGTTTTTTACTGTTGAATGTGGAAAAAGAATCTCAATTTACACTGAGATCGACAGATTACTGAATGTACGTTCAACCCACGTAAGAAATAAAAAATATTTTAGTATTATTAGGTAAGAATTACGAAACTTTCAAATCTATATCTATTTAGCTTTTAAACTTGTGAGGTTTAATCAATCGTTCAATTTTTAAGCTTGGGTTTACAATGTTTCTAAAAATTACGAAAATACCCTTGGATGAGATTTTTCTAATGCATATTATTTTAATGGTTTTTGTTGTGCAGACCGAGGATGAGATATTGTGATCTGTGCTCTGGGTAATTGATGGAAAAACTCCGTATTCCTACGCCATTCTTGGTTAGAATAGTGCAAAGGAGTACCCTAAAAAACTGATCGAGAATAACTTTTTCAGAACTGCCCTAAAAAAAAGAACGTTCGACGAAAAACGACTCAAAATTGGTAGAGAGATAACCAGTGTTTAATAGATGATTCAACTTTTAAGCTTGGGTTTAAAATATTTATGAAATGTTACGAAAATACCCCTTGATACGATTTCTCTCGTGCATGTTATTTTAATGTGTTTCCGATATATGTAGAAGAATGATGAAATATTGTGATCTGTGCTCTGGATAAGTGATGGAAAAACTCCCTGTTCGTGTGCCATTCATGGCAATAGTGCAAGACACTACCCTAAAAAACTGGTCGAGAATAACTTTTCAGAACTGCCCTAAGAAGAAGAACGTTTGACGACAAACGAACTCAAAATTGGTCGAGAGATAACCAGTGTTTAATAGATGATTCAACTTTTAAGCTTGGGTTTAAAATGTTTCTGAAAAATTACGAAAATACCCCTAGATAAGATTTCTTTTATGCATGTTATTTTAATGTGTTTCTGGTATATGTAGAAGAAGGATGAAATATTGTGATATGTGTTCTGGGTAATTGATGGACGAACTCTTTGTTCCTACACCATTCTTGGTTAGAATAGTGCAAGACAGTGCCCTAAAAAATTGGTCAAGAATAACTTTTCAGAACTGCCCTAAAAAAAAAGAACGTTCGACGATAACCGGTGTTTAATAGATGATTCAACTTTTAAGCTGGGGTTAAAAATATTTTTGAAAAATTACGAAAATACCCCTTAATAAGATTTCTCTCATCATGTGTTTCCAATCTACGTGGAAGAAGGATGAAATATTGTGATTTGTGTTCTGAGTAATTAATGGACAAACTCCTTGTTCCTACGCCATTCTTGGCTAGAATAGTGCAAGACACTGCCTTAAAAAACTAGTAAAAAATAACTTTTTAGAACTGCCCTAAAAAAAAGGACGTTCGACAAAAAAACGAACTCAAGATTGGTCGAGAAATAACCCGTGTTTAATAGTTGATTCAACTTTTAAGCTTGGGTTGAAAATGTTTCTAAAAAATTACGAAAATACCCCCTTATAAGATTTCTCTGTGTTGTGTTCTGGGTAATTGATGGACAAACTCCCTGTTCCTACGCTATTCTTGGCTAGAATAGTGCAAGGCACTGACTTAAAAACCTAGTCGAGAATAACTTTTCAGAACTGTCTTAAAAACAAAAAAAAAAAAAAAAAAAATTCACGGAAAATGAACTCAAAATTGGTCGAGAGCTAACCATTTTTGGGTCGGATATAATATCTATCATCGAACTCATTTAGCTAACAGAGAAAAATCTCATTTCACTCTCTATCTCTCTCATTCCTCATTTGAGCGGACAGCCATAGACAACCATAGACATCTTAGGTTTAACGTCTCCTCTAATTTTTGTGAACTCTAATAGATTCTTAATTTTTTATAATTTTATGTCTAATAAGTCGAAACTCGGTAAGGATTAAATATATATATATATATATATATATATATTAAAAATGATTTATTAATAGAAATACTTCCAAAATATTTTTACCTTAAATATAACGGATACAGTGAACGTGAGTCGAACGCCACGTGGACGCCATACTCCGAATGAAATTAATTTTAAAAAAGGGGTAATAAAATACAAATCCGACTTCTGTGTGAACGCCACGTGGACAAGAATTCGTGTACGTGTTGATACCAAAATGGTGGACCCCACAGGGACCAAAATCGTATGACGTTTATATGACCGACACGTGTCCACTACTCTGGACGTGGCTGTCCTTTCAGCAATTCCGCGTGGAGAAATTATCCGCTACTCTCGAACTACTGTGGGCTCTCCCTTCTCTTCGGTCATTATTTGACCTTACAATTTTATTTTATATTTTTTTAATCTTTTTTTTAGAATTAATAATTTTGATTATCAATATATACATTAAATATATTAATAAATTAGATATTATTTATTATTTTAATGTCCACGTGATGTCTCCACCTCTCACCCATAATTAATGAATTAAATAAAATAATTGTAAATATTAAATAAAATAATAATTGCAACGGTCAAAAATAATTATAGGTCAAAATTTAACCATTAAAAAAATTAGAAATTTAATATTTTATTTGAATATTTTTAAACTAAAAAATTAATTAAGAAAATTGGTGCAAAATGAAAAGCTTTACCTTTGAATTAAATTTTTTTTTAAAATTAATTAAAATATCTTTAAATTTTATATTTACGTCTAAAAAAATACTCTAAACTTTTAAAATTTTCGATTATATTCCTAAAATTTTAAAAAATTCTAAAATGCCATTAAACTTAATAAAAAAAATTAAAAAAAAATACCCTTATTGTCAATATTTTTTTAAAAAAATATCTTTTAAATTAAAAAAAATATTTTTTTAACTTTCAAAATTATTAAATATATATATATATATATATATATATATATTCTTGCACTTCCACTTCAAAAATACCCTTAAACTTTTAAAAAATTAAAAAATAGAGAATTTAATTTTTTTAATAAAAATTACCGTGTTAATACTACTCTTAAAATTTTAAATGTATTTATTAAATATAATAATAATAGCTGTCACAGTTAAAAGAGTATTTTTGAAACACTATTAAAAGTATTAATTTTTAAATAAAATATTAATGATTTTCGTCCCAATAAAAAATTTAAATGTATTTTATTAATTTAAATTACTAATGTTTTATCCTTTAGGAAGGTAAAGATGACACCCGTAATTTAATGCTTCGTAAGTGTAACAGGCGCAATCTCAGCCGTCGATTTCGAACTACATCAACGATGACTCTTAGCCTTACATTGTAGAGTTATTTACAGTTATACCACGTTCACACAGTCAAACAAACCCACCGTCCAAATCCACAACACCGCATCCTCCCACCGTCAGATCACGACCTCCGCCACGCGTACGGTCGGATTCCGAGAAATGGTGAATTTACTAAAATAACCCCAAAATTTCACTATATAAACCCGGATCTGCCGCTAAGTTTCTCATCAACGGTCTTCAAAGTGTTGTGGTCAAGCAAAAGCAAAAGAAAAAGCTCATTAGCAATGGCTCCTGAATTTAGCGGTGTTGGCGGAGCGGCTAGGTGCGGATACGTCACGTTCTTGGCCGGCGATGGTGACTACGTGAAGGGCGTGGTCGGGCTGGCTAAAGGGCTGAGGAAAGTCAAGAGCAAGTACCCTTTGGTGGTGGCTGTGCTGCCCGACGTGCCGGAGGAACACCGGGAATTGCTGAGGTGGCAGGGGTGTGTCGTCAAGGAGATCGAACCGGTTTACCCACCCGACAACCAAACCCAATTCGCAATGGCTTACTATGTCATCAATTACTCCAAGCTCAGGATCTGGGAGGTACTAAATTAAGCATTCATCTCATCCGTATTTATAGCAGTGAAAAGTGTCTGTTTTCATAAATTTTCTGGGTTTGTGCCGTTCGTATTCATAAATTTTTTAGTCAGGTTAATAACTACTAAAGGTTTGTGCGGGTCGTATTTATAGTACAGAAAATCGTGTCTGTTTTTAGTTAATAACCACTCATGGGTTTGTGCCGTTCGTATCTATAGTAGAGAAAACCGTGTCTGTTTTCAGTTAATAACCACTAATGGGTTTGTGTCGTTCGTATTTGTAGTAGAAAAAACAGTGTCGGTTTTCATAAATTTTCTAATCAAGTTAATAACCACTAATGGGTTTGTACTGTTCGTATTTATAACCGAGAAAGTCGTGTCTGTTTTCATAAATTTTCTAGTCAGGTTAATAACCACTAATGGGTTTGTATCGGTCGTATTTGTAGTAGAGAAAACAATGTCTGTTTTCATAAATTTTCTAGTCAGCTTAATAACCACTAACAATCTTAGCATTGGGTTTGTGCAGTTTGTGGAGTTTAAGAAGATGATATATTTGGACGGGGACATACAAGTGTTCGAGAACATAGACCATCTTTTCGAGATGGAGGACTCGTATTTGTACGGTGTGATGGACTGTTTTTGCGAGAAGACATGGAGCCATACGACTCAGTATACGATTGGGTATTGTCAGCAGTGCCCCGACGCGGTCCATTGGCCGTCGGACTTTGGCCCCAAGCCTCCTTTGTACTTCAATGCTGGCATGCTCGTGTTCGAGCCCGACTTGCGTACTTACCATGACCTACTTGCCACTCTCGACGCCACCCCTCCCACCCCCTTTGCCGAACAGGTGACTATTCTCATTGATATTTTAAATTTTAAATATAATTAAAAATACCCATAATTTTAATTTTTTTAAATTTGTGTAGGACTTTTTGAACATGTTCTTTAAGGAGAAATATAGGCCAATTCCGGCGGTGTATAATCTTGTGATGGCGATGCTATGGCGCCACCCGGAAAACGTGGAGCTCGATAAAGTGAAGGTGGTTCACTACTGCGCTGCCGTAAGTATATCCTATTCTAACGTGATTACACTTTGAGGTTATGGACTTTCGAAGCTCTGGTTCCATGAGTCTTCACTATGATCCACACCTTCGAGATCGTTGGTCTTCACTATGACTACACTTTCTAAGCTATGATACCACGAGTTTTACTATGTTCCACACCTTCGAGGTCGTGGGTCTTTACTATGACTACACTTTCGAAGCTCTAGTACCACGGGTTTTCACTATGATCCACACCTTCGAGGTTGTGGGTCTTTACTATGACTTCACTTTCGAAGCTCTAGTACCACGGGTTTTCACTATGATCCACACCTTCGAGGTTGTGGGTCTTTACTATGACTTCACTTTCGAAGCTCTAGTACCACGGGTTTTCACTATGATCCACACCTTCGAATCTCTGGTACCATGAGTTTTCACTATGATCCACATCTTCGAAGCTATGGTATCGCGGGTTTTCACTATGATCCACACCTTCAAGGTCATGGGTCTTCGCTATGACTATACTTTCGAAGCTTTGGTACCACGGGTTTTCACTATGATCCACACCTTCGAGGTTGTGGGTCTTTACTATGACTTCACTTTCGAAGCTCTGGTACTGCGAGTTTTCGCTATGATCCATACCTTCGAAGTCATGGATCTTCACCAGGACTATACCTTTGAAGCTCTGGTACCAATAGAGATAGTGTTATTTATATATCTTTGGTTTTGTTGTACAGGGGTCGAAGCCATGGAGGTACACGGGAAAAGAGGAGAACATGGACAGAAAAGACATAAAGATGCTGATTAAGAAATGGTGGGAAATTTACAACGACGAGACCTTGGACTTCAACTACAAGAAGGAAGGAGACGACGACGGTGCAGATGCACGACAACCATTTCTGGCGGCGCTGTCGGATGCAGCCGATGTTCACTACCATACTGCCCCATCGGCGGCTTAATCCAGGGCGGAGGCGCCATATAATATATTTATACATCATGATATAAGTATTATTTAGTATATGCGTCCCGTTAATTTATGTCTTTTTTTTTAATTATTAATTTGTGAATTTTAATATGTAAATTAGAGTGCTTTGTGAGGATTTTAATGTAATACTTAGGGGCTCTTTTATTTATTAATATATTTTTTTTTATAGAAATTGTGTTTTTTTTTTAATTTTCAATATTGAGTATAATTACATATAAAATATAAATTTTTTTATCTATTAGTTTTCAATATGAATAGAAATATTAATAGTTTTCATTATTAATTAAATATTTTTTACACCGACAAATTTTGACCAATAGAAAATTGCCACATCATTAATTTAGAATTAATTGATACTTAAATTAAAAGACATAAAAAATTGACCAATCAAATTAAAAAATATTAAAATTTTGATTTAACTCGAAGTATTTAATAGCTTAGTTGGTTAGAGCGTTGTGTTAATAACGCGAAGGTCGTAGGTTTGAAACGTGCATCGACCATGTTAGTCGGCCTATTAGCTTAGTTAGTTATAGCATTGTGTTAATAACGCGAAGGTTGCAGGTTTGAACGTGCATCGGCCAACGAAGTATGTCAGTTGGTTAGAGCTAGACCTACATGGACATATAATTTTAAACATTAAACTTTTTTTATTTTGAAAATTGAAAAAAGGAAATTAAAAGTAATGCCAACGAAGCATGTCAGTTGGCCTATTAGCTCAGTTGGTTAGAGCGTCGTGCTAATAACGCGAAGGTCGCAGGTTCGAAACCTGCATGGGCCATAATATTTTCAAACATTAATCAACTTTTTTTATTTCTTTTGTGTGGAAATTAAAAGTAATGCCAACAAAACTTTCATTTGGCCTATTAGCTCAGTTGGTTAGAGCGCCGTGTCAATAACGCGAAGGTCGCAGGTTCGAAATCTGTATGGGCCGTAATATTTTCAAACATTAATCAACTTTTTTTATTTCTTTTGTTTTGAAAATTAAAAGTAATGCCAACAAAGCATGTCAATTGGCCTATTAGCTCAGTTGGTTAGAGCGTCGTGCTAATAACGCGAAGGTCGCAGGTTCGAAACCTGCATGGGCCATAACATTTTCCAACATTAATCAACTTTTTTTATTTCTTTTGTTTTGACAATTAAAAGCAATGCCAAAGAAGCATGTCAATTGGCCTATTAGCTCAGTTGGTTAGAGCGTCGTGCTAATAACGCGAAGGTCGCAGGTTCGAAACCTGCATAGGCCAATTACTTTGATTTTTTTTTTTTGCCCTTTTCGCCTTTAAACCATCCGTCTCTGCAAAAGCAATGGCGGTGGAAGAATCGAGTGCCTGAAACAATGCCACGCCTCACTTCGTGTTCTTTCTCCATCTCCCACCCACCGAATTACTCAGATTCAACTGTTTCTCCTTCAATCCCTCTTTTATACTCCATTTCTCTGCTCCTAATTCCTATCCTCCACTCTGCAAAATGCCTACCACGATGCCTGGTTCCACCCCCACCATCGTCATCGACGCCCTCCGATTCACCTACCCTGGAATCGACGGCCATCCTCCGCCTGGTTCCAAGCCCCTCATCGATGATTTCTCCCTCACTCTCAACGCTGGCGATCGTTGCCTTCTTGTCGGATCCAATGGCGCTGGTGAGTCCCCGTTGTAGATCTCTTAAAATGTCGAACCAAATATCTAGGGGATTTTTGTTTACTCTTTTGAAATGTAATGTTGTTGACAGGGAAGACCACGATCTTGAAGATTTTGGGAGGGAAGCATATGGTGGAACCTCATATGGTTCGTGTGCTTGGAAGATCGGCGTTTCACGATACTGCTTTGACTGTTTCTGGCGATCTCTGTTATCTAGGAGGAGAGGTTCATCCTCTTCTTTCTTCTTCCTTTCTTTTCGTTTCTTTGTTCTTGTTGCTCTTTGTTTCTCTCTGTGTTTTCTGAATCTGTTGGTCATTGATCTTGCTTGCCTTCAATTTCGTTCGTTTCCACCATGGTTGAATACGGCATTGTTCTTAGAGGACTGATTTAAATCTCTTGATTTGAGGAACTAGAAATGATTTCTTTGTGTTCTGCTTTGCTTGGAATGGGATAAGATTTGTTGTTTTGTTTTTGTTTTGTGGATCATGAGGATCTTTTCTAGTGTAGCTCTCTGATCATGATATGTGCATAGGAACATTGTTGAACATTGTTGTCTGAAATGCAAAGAAATTCATTTAAATTCTGATAACTGAAAATTACAGGGTGTTCTTGCTTGTATACAGTGTTAGTGTTAAATCTAGGCGGTCGTTTTTCGAGTTTCTTGCATTTACGAAGCAATAACCAGCTTGATTTTGAGAAATTCTTATAAATCTTGTTTGCATGTTCTTCATTTTTTTTGTATCTGCTTATGTGAATAGAAAAGATACTGAAAATGCTGACGATCCCTTTTCTACAGTGGAGGAGAGATGTGGCGTTTGCAGGATTTGAGGTTCCCATTCAAATGGCTGTGTCTGCAGAGAAGCTAATTTTTGGAGTAGGCGGGGTTGATCCTCAAAGGAGAGCTGAACTCATTAATGTAAGGTGGTCTGATAATTTCATGCTTCTGTTATGTGAACTTAACCTTCTTAGCTTGTATTGCCCTCTGCAGTACTATAATGGATGTGTAGCAACCCAAGCCCACCGCTAGGCTAGCAGATATTGTTCTCTTTGAGCTTTCCCTTTTGAGTTTCCCTTTAAGGTTTTTAAAATGTGTCGGCTAGGGAGAGGTTTCCACACTCTTATAAAGAATGTTTTGTTCCCCTCTCTAACCGATGTGGGATCTTACAATCCACCCTCCTTCGGGGCCCAGCGTCCTCGCTGGCACTCATACCCCTCCAATTGATGTCAATCCATCCCCTTTAGGGCCCAACGTCCTCGTTGGTACTCGCTCCCCTCTCCAATCGATGTGGGATCTCACAATCCACCCTTTTCGGGGCCAAGCGTCCTTGCTGGTCCTCATTTCTCTCTCCAATTGATGTGGGATCTCATAATCCATCCCCTTCAGGGCCAAGCGTCCTCGCTGGTCCTCATTTCTCTCTCCAATTGATGTGGGATCTCATAATCCACCCCCTTTCAGGGCCAAGCGTCCTCGCTGGCCTTCGTTCTTCCCTCCAATCGATGTGGGATCTCATAATCCACCCCCTTTTCGCTGGCCCTCGTTTCTCTCTCCAATCAATGTGGGATCTCACAATCCACCCTCCTCGGGGCCAAGTGTCCTCGTTGGTCCTCGTTTCTCTCTCTCCAATTGATGTGGGATCTCACAATCCACCCCCTTTCAAGGCCAAATGTCCTCGTTGATACTCATTTCCCTCTCCAATCGATGTGAGGTCTCACAATCCACCTCCTTTAGGGCCAAGCGTTCTTGTTGACACATTGCCCAGTGTCTGGCTCTGATACCCTTTGTAACATCCCAATGGGGAAGCCCGAAAGGGAAAACACAAAGAGGACAATATCGGCTATTGGTGGGCTTGGGCCATTACAAAATGTTCTCATAAATAATGTCAATGTCAGTCTGTCAGCTCACAACTCCTTTTCTTGTTTTGGGACTTCAGATATTAGACATTGATTTATCATGGACGATGCACAAGGTATCTGATGGTCAGAGAAGACGGGTGCAAATATGCATGGGTCTTCTGAAGGCATATAAGGTATTTTATCATTTTTTCTTGTGAAATATTGATATTTTTATATTTGAAAACGAAGTTGATTGTTCTCTTTTCCTCTTAGGTTCTTCTTCTTGATGAGATAACTGTGGATCTTGACGTGCTGGCAAGGGCGAACCTTTTGAAGTTTCTGAGAAGGGAATGTGAAGAGCGTGGCGCTACAATTATCTACGCCACACATATATTTGATGGTCTCGAAGACTGGCCATCACATATGGTATGCTCAATTCTTTTGTTTGTCTTCTCTCTCTATTTGAGATCCCACCTCGGTTGAGGAGGTGAACGAAACATTCTTTGTAAGGGTGTGGAAACCTCTCCATAGTAGGATGCGTTTTAAAAACTTGGAGGGTAGCCCAAAAGGGAAAGCTCAAAGAGAATAATATCTGCTAACGGTGGGCTTGGGCTGTTACAAATGGTATTAGAGCTAGACACTGGGTGATGTGCCAGCGAGAAAAGCCTCGAAGGGGGGTGGACATGAGGCGGTGTGCCACCAAGGACGCTAGGCCCCAAAGGGAGTGGATTGTGAGACCCCACATTGGTTGAGGAGGAGAACGAAGCATTCTTTATAAGAGTGTGGAAACCTCACCTGGTGGACGCGTTTTAAAAACCTTGAGGGGATGCTTGCAAGGAAAAGCTCAAAAAGAACCATATCTGTTAGTGGTTAGCGGTCAGCTTGAGCGGTTACCTTCTAAGTCTTTGTTTTGCTTTGGTAGGTCTATGTGTCGCATGGGAAGTTGCAGATCTCAATGCCAATGGATAAAATTAAGGAGATTAGCCAGTTGTCTCTTATGGTAAGTTTTTACAACATGGAATCCTTATTTCCGTCGAATTGAAGACCGAACAAATTTCAAATGTTCTTTATTTTCGTTATTTCGAAACTCTCAGAGAACAGTTGAGAGTTGGCTAAGGAAGGAGCGAGACGAGGAGAGGAAAAAGAGGAGGGAAAGAAAGGCAAGTGGTCTGCCTGAATTTGAAGAAAGAATAGAGGAAAGCCGTGTGACGGGGGATCCAGCCCGCGCTGCTGTTCGAGTCATGAACAACGGCTGGGCAGCAGGACGGCTTCACTCCACCGTAGCCGGAGAAGAGAACTTCTTGTTGAGCTCTAACAGAGTTCTCAGACAGTAAGAGTGTTCCTTTACTCTTTGCAATGTTTAGTAAAAGAAGTAGATAAGGCTCAAACAAAATTCATGGAAGCATTTAGTTTGCTTACGTATTTATAGGGTGCTCTTATTTTATTTTAATTCATGATATTGTTAGATCCAGTGTTGTTGAATTGCTAATTAAATGAAGAAAATTTGTTGTTATGAAATACTTCTTGGGTGCTCAAGTACGAATGTGGATTATTCGAGTTTGAACAAGAAAGTAAAACGAACAATTCAATCATCACCTCGTCAAAACTTTGATTCTTAAATCTTTTAATTAACAGATCAAATCAAATCAACGTGAGATCCTACGTTGGTTGGAGAGGAGATCCCACATTGGTTGGGAAGGAGAACGAAACTCCCTTCATAAAAGGTGTGGAAATTTCTCTTTAGTATACACATTTTAAAAACCTTGAGGGGAAACCCGAAAGGAAAAGTCCAAAGAAGACAGTATCTCTTAGCGCCGGAGCGATGTGCCAGGAAGAGGCTGTTCTCTGAAGGGAATAGACACGAGGCGGTGTGCCAGTAAGGATGCTGGGCCTCGGAGGGGTAGATTTGGTGGGGGTCCCATATCGATCGGAGAAAGGGATGGGTGCCAGAGCCTTGAAGGGGTGGATTTGGTGGGATTCCAATCTCGATTGGAAAAAGGAATGAGTGACGGGGCTATGAAGGAGGGGGTGGATTGTGAGATCCAACATCGGTTGAGGAGAGAACAAAACACCCTTTATAAGAGTGTGAAAACCTAAACACCTTTTATAAGAGTGTGAAAACCTTTTACCTCTCCCTAGAGGACAACGGAGGTCAGGGAAAGCCCAAATTAAAATGCATATGAATTATCTGATTTTACCTTGACATCAAATATTTTCCTTTTTAAAAGTCATGATTGGATCTTTCACTACTTCAACCGTTTAACTAAAAAAAAGTGCATATTTTAACTAAAATTAAATTGAGCAGTTATGGTTCTATAAATTTGGAGATAAGTTTGATCTCGGGAGGGTAACATTTAATTCTTTGAATGAATGAGATAATGGTAACATTTAATTCTTTTTATGTCTATCTCTAAAATACTCTCAGTAAACAACCTACTTGTATGTTCTCATTGCATCCTTAATC